AGAAGTAAACAACACGGAACCGGCGGTTTGAATTGATAGGTCAACATCTCATCAGTTGTTTCCAATGTTGTTTGATGCTATTGACCATGTGGTTTGGATCTACGACGGGATTTAAAAAATACAGCCTACTCCAACTAGCTGTTGACTTAATCAAGCGATCCGACTATTCAGTTCTTGGTGTGGGCTTGATGATCAGCATGGATTTTGAGCTTGATATCCGGTCGAAAATCCCAAGACTAACTGCTTGAAAGTACTTACCAGAGGATCATATGGCCTCGTCGGACTATGGTTATTGAAGAGTTCTAAACGCGGCAAACGTAATGGACGCTTTGGTTAAGTGACCATATTTTTCTTGAGGTTGGTTTTGACAATTCATTAACGTTTACTTCTTGCGAAAGTCCATCTGAGAGGTAATGTTTTGGAATATAGTTATTTCAATGGTACTGCTTGGTCTCTGTTCTGTTCGCCAAGCTAGGTATTTGTTCGGCAAGTGCTTCATCAACAATCAAGGTAGCAGCCAGTGAGGGGTTGATGATGTCACTGCGATTGGTGATTGAGCGTTTACAATTCAACTGTCAGGTTCATCCAAGTTATCAATACAACCCTCACTGTTTCCGCAGTTTAGGCCACCCTTTTAACATCCTAGTGTACACACTACTTAGAAGTCTCCATTACTTTCCGATTTGGGACATGTAGGTCGAAACTGCGTTTTTCTTGATTTCATAGACTACAGCGAACTGCCGTTTCAAAATGTTGGGTGCTGTAATCAATGGTAGGTTTCAACGCATTGTTCTCTTGTTATCAGCACGCTGACTGCATTTTGCTAGTTGTCATTACTGAGGAGAAAATGGTGAGCTGGGTGATCCAAACATCCACCGTGTTGATACAGCTCACTTTCCATCTTCCCAATGCAATTTCGAAAACAAATGAATGGGGTAAATCAATCGTTATAAACTTGTTTGAAACCTTTTGCCCAAAAGGCTGCTAAGCTTAACGATTTCTCTAATTTTTTGCAGTATGCATCCCATGACAATACGACGACATAATCCGTGTGCGGCAAACGCCCAAACAATAAAGTGAACGGTAAAGTAATCCACTCTCGACTTTTTATTAGCCGAAGAACTGACATTTCAGCCCTCAGTTTGGCTTGTGTTTATTACGAACGAGTGGTATTGACGTTTTGACCGCTCTGCATTTACTCAAAAGGAACACAAATTATTCTGGCAACTTTGCGTTGGTTGTTCACAGCATATGTGATAATTATATTGAAGTTTCTAAAGAACACCTCGTCTACGGTTATAGTATACATAAAAATTAGCTACTAACACTAACAGACCGTAGTGGCTGCTTCGGTGTGTCCGAGATTTAGCGCGTGTGCGTGTCCGTTCGTCGTCCCACCATCGATCTGACGTGTGACTTGAGTGGCTAATTGGATGTGTGTCCGATTGGTTGGCTCGCGTGAGCGCTGTGGGTTGACTGGATATGTGACTCAGTTGTTTTGCTTACCTGCCACGAAAGCGGACCAGTTTGGCCGCGTGTACCCAATACACCCGTGTCCGTACTTACGCGTTCTTCTGACTTACTGTGAACTACAATACAGACCAACCACAATCATCATCTTCGTCATCGACACCCGAACATCAGTGTCCAACATTGATGCTTTGCTGCCGGACAACCTCGACCAACCGCAACCAACTTACACTCAAATCCAGAACTTCCAAATTTTTCAGTAAACCGATGCCCTCCAGACATGAAGTAGTCAGGTTGCAACTATGCAAGCGTAACACCTTCAATTGAAGACATTTCCAGAGGAAAGAGACGAGGTCACATCCAGCGGAAATGTGAAAAAACTCCACGCAAAGGATCTGGAACAAGCAGGGAAAAGGCGTGCAGTCAGTTGATGATACCAGTGTAACTTCAAAATTAGGACGTAAAAGGAGAACTGTAGGGTGTCGGTGTATATGTTCACCTTTGTATTGTTGTAAAAAAACAGTAGACTAGGACGTACGATCCACCGGCTCTACAATCTATGAACACGGTCTCACATCTACAGCATCTACCCAACCAGTACTTACATTCACGGAGTCAATATGGAAAATCGCATGGTACAGTGATTTGGTGTTCGCCACTTAATACCCAAAGTTTAATGGGACACCTATTAAAATTGCCTTTTTGCTTTGCCATCTCCGAGTACAACTATTTGAAGATGTGCATTGGTTTACCACAATCCTCTGATGTTATCCATACTACCCACTTTTTACAATTGGTGTTTTCAAGTAAATCTGAAAGAGCCAGTGGTTATAATAAACACTAAACGCAACATAAGTGATCGATGCGTAACGCTTTCGTTCCGATGAACACCCCTGACCTGTCAAAAGCCTTGTCCAAATCATACCCTGAAATTTCACCATACATTTCACGCCTTTCATAGATCTCGGTCAGTACCGCCATAGGCTTTTTACTTCTCTGTATTTTGGTCCAATTCCAATGTGGTAGTGAGGAACACGCCTCTATCAACGGTGTTCGTGAAGAAAGAGTTGAACGTGGATTAAAAAGTCGACTGTGTTTTCAGATTTCTGTGTGTACTTCTTTCACATGTACACAACTTGGACGCGAAAGGTTCAGATACAACCTACATATAGCCTAGACTAATAAGTTTGAAACGCATAACATGTTAGCTGATATACGTCTTCGTGTAAATAGAGCAGTGTACGACTTGTAGATAGAGGCGCTTGTTGTAACGTATCCAAAGACCAGAGTATGGATACCATTTCATGAATTAAACCTCCACATGCACGCGTCATATCACTGGCTGTGCACTAATTGCCTCACGGACTGCGCCTGACTGTTACTCCCACTGTGAGAGTGTCGGGCACTACTATGCGAAACTAAACAAAATAGCGTTGCTAAACCAAAAATAAACAACGATTTTGGAACTTGGTTTCCTCGGGGCTTAGACCTACATGCAACAATCTATTATTCACAGTTCAGGAGTTGCAAGTACCAGAACGTTTTGATTTTATCTGCTGCACAAGTTCATCAGTTTGAGGGAGTTTCATCATCACGAGTAGTCAGTGTTCTTTGCGTAAGAATATCTGATTCGTTTTCTGAAAGTGCTAAAAATCACAATTCATAGGAACCATTGTCCATGAAAATTACTTTAACTAATCATTCAAGAGAGCCGTAACACTCCAAGTTCAACAAGGAATTCTTAAGTGAAAAGGAAAAAATCCAATTAAAATCCACCTTTTCACCAGTCGCTCTATTTGTTCTTTTCAGAGGTAATGGCAGGGCAAGAGCTTTAAAACCCACCTGCTGGGAAAAACCTTCTGGAATTTCTTCGGCTTCAGGAGCTTTGGATACCTCTTGTTTCAAAAGTTTCTTACTGGTAGGATGTATTGTTCCCTGTGGTCTTGATTTATTCTTTGGGCTTATCATAGTTTGGGGTTCCATATTTCGGGCACTGTACGAGAAAGAAGGACCGGTTTAAGCCATATGGCTTGGCAATTTTTTTCACCAATGATTAATTGCACTCCACACTACTGCAGCGATTGAATAACATGACCCAAGTGCACAAACGTTATGACACCAGAGGAATCCTGAAAATCATCCGGATTTAATTACCCATTATCTAGCCATACTTACAGTGAACCTCCAAACAAACGCTTTCGATGCTCCAATAGATTTAGCCATCGCTGTCTCAGAGCAACAAGCATATGGTCTGCTGGGGTGCAGTGATCACAACAGGATGCAATTTTCGATTCTCCCATCTGTTGATCCAAAGCTTTTCTCTCCCTTGGTGAATCACTGGAAGTCGGATGATAACAGTAGGCAGTTTTTGAGGTGGGCCTTTGTTTATTTTTAGACGGTGCAACTGAGTTCTGATTCTGTACTTGGTGAAGAAGCAAGTGTTGTCCAGTTTGAACAACGCGGTATCGACGGTTGACTGTTGACAATAGTCCAAAATGGTCATGAGCATCGAAATGACTATTGTTCCCGTCTGAGCATTCCTGACTCGAACAGTCACCGGGTTCTGTAAAGTCCAGGACGTTACCATCCACAGCTTCTTCTGACTCATCAAGGCTCACGCACCTTAGCGCTGTGCACCAGTACGGTGCCGTCTCGGTCGCATTCCCCGGGCTGAAAAGTGCAGGAATATTTCCGCATCAGAATATTTGAATAGACGGTAGTTGCAAGCAGGTGAAAATTGTAAACTGAAATTCCGTGCCTGCTGATTATATGTAAACAAAACGCGAAATGATGACGTCTCATCCTTTAGTGACGAATGTTTGCAAGCCAATTACCAAGCTGGGTGAATAGACCAGAACAACCCGATCAACAACAATACTGTGGTTTATTCTGTGTGGCCGAGTATTCACTGGGATAAATTCATGTACCTTAAGCCCAAGAGTCAGATCTTTATCAGAAACTTAATAAATTCATGTACTTTGTGCGGACCAGCATAAGTTCAAAGTTTGCACGAGTTTATACGAGTTTATTGCAAAGGTCAGAAATGCTTAGCTGGATTGGATAGTAAATTGAGTAGTAAATGTTTTAAAATTAGCCCATCCATTCTCTTCATACAGGCAGGTGATAGGTTTCTGAGCTTTTTGCTTCTTTCAATAAAGAGACAGTGGAGCAAATTTTACGGCACAATCACATCCGCACCAGGTGACAAATGTAGTTTGGAAGTTGTGTTTTCCAAAATTTCAAAACAATCTCACTGGAGTGACAACGAAAGTCTGCTATTGAGACTGGTTATCGCAGGAACTGGAGTTTCTGATACAACTATTTTTGCAGGTGTAACAGCCATTCAGTGCCTAGCTGCTGTGCAACTCAAAGGAAGCATGAGGGCTGAGGTAATTTCAGGGCTGCCAACCCTGGACGTGAGCAGTCGTGATGCTACGGTTGGTTCGGACCGTAGACCTTCCGGCCGCCTTGCTGTCGCAAAATGAAAAACTGGCTTCTTTCCCAACAAAAAAAGAGAAGTGTGATGTGAAGAAAGACAATCCACTCAACACTTACGGACACCGTTTATGCCGGTCTTCCATACACGTATGGACAATATCTGAATTACGTGGTGTCCAAATTTACAGTGTCTAAGCTCTGTCTGAGATCAGTTTCTTCCCTTATAATCAAACAAAAGACAAACTGTCAATAGTTACTATCAGCTTTTTGTTGCATTCGCATGCCAAACATCATGTGTTTGTCGCACGAGGCATTTGCATTGCACTTCGCTTCACTAACTAATAGAAAGTACAGATCCAGTTCCAGCGCCAGCACTTCGTGCCCAGCGGAAACCGCCCACATGCTTTATAAAGATCGCACCTTTCTCACCGAGTGCCTAGCAGTCGAGCACAGTCTATGAGAAGATGGCTTTGGTCTATAGCCGAGGCAATGGCAACTGCCTACGCAAAAGAAACTTGTGTGAAATTTGGGCCTTTTTCGGCCCATGCTGAGTTCTTCAACTTTACTTTTGACATCCATTGCTTATCTCGTGGTAGACACTGTTTCTCTATTTCATGTAAATTACAACGCGGAAACCAGGCCTTCTCTACCGCACCGTGTGTTTTTCCAAGACTTTTGAGAGAATATTCGATTGTTTAAATGGCACTTTAAACAGGCTTCACGATTATTTTATTGAACGCTTCCCATCAACTGGATTGATTGTTTCAGTCATCCTACGTTTTTGCAAATCAGCAACGTAGACATTAGCCAATGCTTCACACTAGAGTAATTGTTGCATAAGTGTCTGACTGTTGATCAGATCGCGGTTGAACTGTTCGCCAAGTTTGGCAACTAGTTTGCGAGCAGGTCAGCCACCATCTGAGCAAGAACAACCAGCAACCACTCTTTCAGCACATTTGCAACAGGCATTTTTTTTTAAATATCGAGCAACATGGATACTAAACTATAGTATATCTGAGACACCTCCAATAATCTGAAGCCCCGCACTAATGGATAATTTTGTTAGGATCTGTGAAAGTTCAGATATGCTTTTTCTCTGGAAAGATTACCGTTCTGACGCACTTGACGGATAACAAAGTGAGCCTTGCAATACAGAGGTGCTTTGAACTCTGAATGCTTGACTAAAGTTTAACTGCATAACGAAAGATAACGAACAGGTAAATGTAGTTGTTCATCGAGTGAATTCAGTTCACTTGAACAGGATATGTGTGTGGTACCAATCATAAGGTTGGTGGGAACTTTTCAGCAGCCTTCTAACCATCTTACTTTCCATAAGGCTAATTAGGTGGGCGTAGTTTTCTATCTTCCATGAGTCCGGTTTCTTAATTAAACAACAACTTACTCGTACGTGGGGTTGACTTAAGTGGGTAGAGCGTGAATGTACTAACCGGAAGGTCCGTGATTCGAGCCCGGCCTCTGCCTCTCGACCTCCCCTGTCTAGGCTTGGGCAACCTGGCAGTATCCCAGCTCTCGTGCTTCTTTCGGGTTGCATGGCAGCTAGGCACCGAAAGGGTGTTACAGCTGAACGATTTTTTTAATTTTCACGTGGGGTTAAACGTTAAAGTGGTATTTCAATAGGTAGACCTTTCGTTGGCCAGATATGCTGCGTCAAGCCCACTCCTTGCTTCGTTACTACAGTTTGGAAGATGTCGAGGAATTTTTCCACCTTAAGATACTACATGTAGGGCCAGTAAAAACATTCTGACAGCCCATGACCAAGCTCACTTCTTCGATGCTCATCTGTTGGACAAGTCGCAAACTTCCAGTCACTCGTATTTGAGAATCAGATACAACGTGTTTTGTGGTGCCAGGGGGCACAGTGAAACCTGCGGCAGAACCAGCCGAATACTTATGAAAGGCAGGTGGAAACTGAAAAATCCCAGTGGTATTGTGCATGGATTTTTTGTGTGGAATTTTGTAAAACGGACGTATGTAGACCCTATCTGTAAGTCACCAGTATAGCCTAGATAATTTTCGAACTACCGAAACAAGAGAGCAACAATAAGTTCTCGACCATATCAGTGAACAGGAGATTTATATGCCTCGATGTCTCATATCATCTAGTTCTATATCGACAGGTATGTCACTTCAATGAAACAGTAGTGCATCTCTGTTCTTCTATTTCCGCTGATAAAATGACACTTCCATCCGGAGACCACCTAATCATTCGGTGTCAGTCTCCTCCGTTAAGCGGGGTGCGGCATAAGTAAACAAAACAGATATATTGTGAAATAGAAGCCGAGAAACTCAAATTGTGTTCACGAAGGATGCATAAAAGTCAAGTTGTCTTACAATTTTCGAATTATGTTGATTTCATTTCAAACTGGTATGGAATGAAAACCATTGTACATGCACGACAGACGAATATTTTCCGTAAAGTCGAGTATCAACCCCAAGCAGGTATAAGTTGCTGTTGAACCAGTGATAGGTACATTTAAATGTGGCAGACAAATCCTTGCCCGTGACAGAAAACTGGCATGAGAATTCCTTTTCATAATCAAAACCGTCATTTTGGAAAACGGAATTCCTTACATCCACTGTTTTCTCAGCCTCAGAGAAAACAGTTTGTGTCAGAAAAGTTGCTTTCTTGAAATACATGCTTCCTACGGGGACAGCGAGTTCCATTTCATTGCCCATTCGTTCGGATGTCAAACACTCTCCAATAGAACGGTTTTAAACGGGGCATAAGTTGCGAACAAGTCTTAAAAAGCAGTGCGATATATTTTAACTTCCCTGAGAAGCCTAATTTCCAGAACTCTGATTAAATTCGTTCAATAATCTGCTCAATAAGATTCGTCGCAGTGCCTTCATGTTTGGTGTTGCGTACAACGTAATAAATTTCACACTCACTGTAAGCAAATTCACTTGTGCTGTTTCTCGACGGAGTTCGGAAAAGCTGGAGAAGTTAGGACATGGTGGATTTTTGTCGGTAGTAAATATCCTCTGAAGCTTAAAAACAATATACCAATCAAAAGAATGAACATATTCTTTCAGATCAGCTAGTCGAGCTTACCAAGCGGATAGTGTGAGATACAAGGAATTATCTGAAATGTTTTAAGACAAACCCACAATTTAGGACTTGATTTTTCAGCTTCAGGTAATCTACCGAATTTTCTGCGATGTATATAAGATTAAGTACTGAACAACTAGGCCGGTTTTCCAAAAGGCAAAGCACAGTGGACCCTTCAACCAATGTGGCCGCACTTTGATCTCACGGACTGCTATAAAAATATTATTTAATACAACCTCCAAAATCCAAGCCCTCGAATTTTCACCATAAATCAAAACAATACGTCCCTAGATGTTCCCAGAATATACTGACTATCTTGGTGGGTCTGTCCTAAAATTCCACATTTGTTGCTTCTAACAAGACTTTTGCTGATGTTCCCGCACAATGGGCAGTTACTAGCTCTGTGTAAACTGTAATGAATGTTTTAAGATGGTCAGGAAATCAATAACTTTCGGGGATCCTGTTTATCTTAATTTATGTTAAAATTAATTTACCAACATTTCCGTGCCTTAAAACGCAAAAACAAGTGTTCCACATGGTGCTTTTTACCAGTATGACTAAAGCGGTAGCAAATTAAATGACATGTAAGGTCAAGGAGTTCTAATACTTGAGCATTGCACATCAGTGAACGCATTAACTGTCTAAAATGAAGTAAAATCTACTGAGCAGATTACTGTTCTCCATTGCTCTGGGCTGTGGCAACAATTTGCATGGCTGTACTCAGTTTGCAAACACATATTACAGGTCAGAATCAAGGAAACTACTCACAAGGTAAAACTCTTC